GAAAGGTATCCTTTAAGAAGATAATTAATTTGATGAACAGAATAAACTGGTGAATATAATAGAATCAGGAACATAGAAAGGGAGTGGACTGAAAATTCTCAGGGGGTGGAAGGGTGTGGGGGTGTGGGAAGAGACTGGGAAAAAAATCATACACCTATGGATGAGGACAGTGGGGGAGGGGGGTAATGGCCAAGGGTGGGGTGGGAACTGGGTGGATGGGAGATATGGGGAGAAAAAAGAGGAACAACTGTAATAATCCGAACAATAAACATTTATTAAAAAAATAAAAAAAGATCCAGCCCTATGTGTGCTTAGTGGTTATCTCACTGGTGGCCTGGAAAACTACACAGTTCTATCCAATTAAAAAGTGCACCTGGCATGGCATGGAGAGTATGGGCATATCTAGTCTCTGGCCCACAAGGTCAGACAGCTAAGTTTATCTTCCTCATTATTCAAGCAGGCTAAAGCTGGCTAGAAAGCAAAGTTATTTTTTAGAATAAGAGGTCGTCTAAAGAATAGCAGAGAATTCCAAAAAGTAGTTTTACAAAATAGGGTTAGCCTTCTCAAGGTGAGTAACAAGATCAACGTAGGAAGGGTCAGGACTAAGAATAAAGATGACAAAACTCAAACCCATAATCTTAGTGAAGTCAAGACAAATACTCTGTTTAATTTTAACATTCTTACAATGTGTAAGAGAACTGGGCACATTCTCAGAGTTGACAAATTTTGGATGTCAATTTAAAACAGGAAATGGAGTAATGTATCTCGATTAATGATTGTAAGTGGAAAGGCACTCTGCCCAGAACAAAGGATGAGAGAAGGCAGCCTCAAGTTCAGTAGATCAGAACGCAGGATGGGTGGGGAGTGGCGGGCAGGGGTACAAATAGCATTTAGCTTGGCCGCTGTGGCTTAGTAGTTGAGCATCAACCTATGAAGCAGGAGGTCATAGTTTGATTCCCAGTCAGGGCACATGCCCAGTTGCAGGCTTCATCCCCAGCAGGAGACATGCAGGAGGCAGAGGACCAATGATTACCTCTGGTCATTTATGTTTCTCTCTCCCTCTCCTTTCCACTCTGAAATCAATAAAAAAATATATATATATTTAGAAAAATAAATAAACCAAAAAGCAAAAACAACAAAAAATAACCACCCCCAATTAATTCCTGGAGTTCCCCTAGCTTGTTTTTAGCTGTGCCCAAAGCGGGCCCAGTGGAGCAGTGATCCTGAGTATCCCCTTGACCGTGGAACACCTCCTGCAGCTGAATCATCTCGGCCTCCATGCTCTTCAGCTTCTTCTCGTTCTCCTTGTTCTGCGCCAGGAACTCCTTTCGGGAGGCGTTCATGTCAATGTCATCCAGCTCACACATGTAGTCCTTCACCTGGGCCTGGGGGGAGGAGCGGTGAGAGTCACTTGGTATCTCCACCATGACCCCAGTGGCCACGCATGTCCTGCTTACCCCACCATCCCACCTCCCACCCCCTCCCAAGGACCATGGCCAATTGGAGCTGTGGCTGCTTTTCACCTTCACAGCACAGATTACCAGCTTAACTAAAAGGGAAAAACAGTTACGAAAGAGAAAATGTCTCTTTACCCTACAGCATTTTATACTTGTTGACGGTCAGGATCTACTCTAGTCTAGACGGTGTTAGTCACCGTGTCCATAGGACCCACGTGGCTAGCGTTTCATTTCCTACAACTGCCTGTTGGCTTGAATCTTGCGCTCGGCACCATCCCCCCTTCCCTCCTTCCCGGTCCCCCCGCCCCAATCCCCTCCCCTGCTTCACCCACACACACACACACACACCTGCTACTCTGCCAGGTTATCCCAATCACACACAGGAGCACATTTCTTTTCTTCTTCTCCTGCCAACTGTTTTAATCCTAAAGATCTTTGACAAGTAGCTCTCAGACATTTTTTCCCCAATCTACCCAGTCTCTATGGGTGAGATGGGCTAAGGGTACCAAGACCCTCCTGGGATAGGGGAAGGCGGCAATCATCTGAATTCACTGGCCACCCCACTAGACTCCCAGCCCCACGCTGAGCCCAGTGCCACCATGAGGCCAGATCTGCTGTGGTCAGGCCTGACCTCACCTGCAGCTTCCGCAGCTGTTTGATGACTTCATCCTGGTTCTTGTTGGCTGAGTTGAGGTGGCCCTCCATGTCCTGCAGTTCCACCTCCAGCTTCTTCCCAGCGGCCACTGCCAGTGAGCGCTGCTTCCTCCTGTCTTCCAGCTCTGCCTCCTGTAGACTTTTGTGAATATCAGTGAGTACTCCCAGGCTCCTCTCCAGCTCCTGGGCCTGCTGCCTCAACTCTTCAGCCGACTTTGTCTTTGACCCCTTATGCAAGCGCTTTGCCTCCTTCACAAGGTTGAACATAGACTGCAGAAGGGCTATACCTGCAGTGGCAAAATCATCGAGGATGGCTTTCTTGACTTTCGCCCGAGCAGTGTCTCCAAAAGCTTTTTGAAGCAGCTTGCCGCTTTGGACTGAGATTGTCCCCTTGCCCAAGAAGCTCTCGGCCTCGGCTGCTAAGCTGCGATTGGATTTGGCCACCTTGAAGGCATTGGCATTCTTCACAATGTCTTGCAGGGATTGGGGGAACTTGTTTGCTAAGGAGTCAATTTGGGGTATGGTGTGATTTACAACCGCCATGACCACCTTCTCTGTGCCGCTGCTGGTTGACAATAGGCGCTTGGCTTCGGCTTTAGCTGACGCGTTCTTTGAGTACTCCACGATGCCGGTGGTTGCACGGGTCACAGCAGCTGCTGCCCCCAGACCCTCCCCAGTTGCCGAGAGCACCAGACTAGCCCCTGCTGTCACAGGTGCCAGAGCCAGGCCAGCGATGGTCAGAAGGCCAGACACAACACGGGTGAAAGAGGCCGCCACCTTGGAGATGTTACAGTCCCTGTGCACCTTGTCCACCTCATCTGCAAGTGCATAGAGCTTTCGTATGCGTTCCTCAAGGTCCTGTTTCACCTGAGGAAACTCCTTCATAAACCTCTCCCGATGCAGCTGCTCTGCTGAGGGCATGTCTTCGTCCTCCTCGGCCATGAGTGTTTCCAGCTGGCGCAAGTCTGCATAGAGTGCATCTGCCTCATCCCTGCAATCATGAAGGTCAGGTGATTAATGAAGGCAGTTAGCTTTTCCGTAAAATGGGCCCAATAAGACCCATGTTACATAATCACAGAGCTTGGACCCTAAGTCAAATAGAAAAGAATTTTACAAATGTAAGGAATTTTTCTAAAATGTTTTCATAAAATGGACACAGAATGAAACACAATCGATGAATTTCACAAACCTAATGCTGAACAAAGGGAGTCAGATAAAATCAATAAAATATGTTTAAAAATATATGTATATATTTTTATTGATTTCAGAGTGGAAGGGAGAGGGAGAGGGAGATAGGAACATCAATGATGAGAGAGAACCATTGATCAGCTGCCTCCTGCATGCCCCCTATTGGGGATCGAATCCACACCTGGGTACCTGTCCCGACCATGAATCAAACCCTGACCTCCTGATTCATAGGTTGATGCTCCAACACTGAGCCATGTGGCCAGGCATTAAGTGTTAAGCATTTGATAAAGATGGCTTCTCACTCAAGGGCAGGTGGACCCATCACCACCAAAGTGTTTGTAGAGTGGAAACTCCAGGGATGAACAAGGAAAAGTGGGGGTGGAGCATTAGACCCTCATCCAGAGACTCTTAGAGGGTGGGGGAGACTTAACCTGACCACAGAGAGGTCTGCAGTGGGATCTCAGAGTTTCTCCTTCAGCTCACCAGTCTGTACCCTTGGAGAAGAGGAAACAAATTGTGGGGTCAAATGTGAGCCCTCCTGAAGATGCCAGGTCCACTCTGCTGTCCTCCCCACCTTTGGACCTTCGCTCGTTTCTAGTTCTTTATGAAAATCAATAATCAAAACACTCTTCTAACATATGAGTTAGCCTGCATTTGAGGTTGTTTCCCTTAAGATATTTCTAGAAGTAGAATGAGTGGGTCAGAGGGTAATGCCATATAAAAATTCATACCTATCCCACATTGTTATGTTAACAAACTGTGCCAATTTACACTTGTACTCACAAAATATGAGGTGTCCATCTTTTCCATCTTCTAGTTCATAGTAGGTTTTTCTTAAAGAAACACATCTTTCGTTCTTTTAAAATATTTTATTACACTAAAAAATGCACAAAATAGTAGGTTTTTTTAAAGAAACACATCTTTTGTTCTTTTAAAATATTTTATTACACTAAGAAATGCACAACATAAAATTTACCACCTTCAGCATTTTTAAGGGTAGAGTTCAATAGTGTCAAATTCTATCTACATTGCTGTGCAACCAGTCCCAGAACTCTCTTCCTCTCGCAAAAGAGAAATTCTACCACTAAATAATAACTCTCCATTCTCTCTCCTCCCAGCCCCTAGAAACTGATGTTCTACTTTCTGTCTCTACAGACTTGAGTGCCTCACCTAAGTGGACTCATACAGGGATTATCTTTCTGAGATTGAATTGCTGCACTCAGCATAGTGTCCTCAAGCTCCATGCATGTTGGAACATAGGCCAGAATTCCCTTATGCTCTGGAGAATAACGGTTCCTCAGTTTTTCCTACGCATTTGCAATTATGTGAGGAAGATGACATGAAGGTGGGAGAAAGCAAGGAGGGGATTGGATTACAGGATGTTTCACAAGATGGTCCTCTCTTGTTTAAAAATGATTTTATTGCCCAGCCGGTGCAGCTCAGTGGTTGAGTGTGGACCTATGAACCAGGAGGTCATGGTTCAATTCCCGGTCAGGGCACATGCCCAGGTTGTGGGCTCCATCCCCAGTGTGGGGTGTGTAGGAGGCAGCCTATCAATGATTCTCTCTCATCATTGACGTTTCTACCTCTCTCTATCTCCCATTTGCTCTGAAGGCAATACAAAACATATATTTTTAAAAATGTTTTCATTTGCTTTACAGAGAGGAAGGAAATGGAGAGAGAGAGAAACACGGAAGAGAGAGAAGCATCCATTGGCTGCCTCCTGCACACCCCCTACTGGGAATTGAGCCCACAACCTGAGTATGTGCCCTGACTGGGAATGGAAATGCTGACCTCTGGGTTCATGGGTCAACACTCGACCACTGAGCCACAATGGTCACGCAAGATTGTGCTCTCTTGAGGGTGGTTATTTCAAATGCATGTTAACCTGGATGCACAGATACAATGGACAGGGCTTGCTTAAGGAAAACAAACTTTTTACTAAAAAGGTATATTCCTGGGATGTGACCCCCCGCCATGACCTGCACAGTTAGGAATTTATAATCACATCACCCTGTGAGGTTACTTGGCATAGAACCCATTTTTCATCCACGGTCCCCCTTTTGAGCATAAATCAATTTGAAGGAGGCACAGATGATCAACCTTTTGGTTGGATAGTGTGGTCTCACAGCGCTATGGGGGCTCTTTCCTAGGAAATGTCAGTGTGCACCTTGTCTTGGTGACCATTGGGATGGGGCAATACTGTAATCATGGGCTCTGTGTTGAGGCTAAATTTTCCCAAAAAGGGACGGGCAGGTAAAGGGAAGGCAGTCACGTCTTATGGCCGTCATTGTGGAAACACACTCTGGCCCTGGCTGGATAGCTCTGTTGGTTAAAGCATTGATCCAGTATGCCAAGTTTCTGGGTTTGATCATACAATGCACATATGAATGTCACATGCAAGAATCAATCAATGAATGCGTAAGTAAGTGGAACGATCGATGTTTCTCCCTCTCATCTCAAATCAATAGTCAAAAACACTCTGGATCATTTCTGTTCTATGAACTATCATGATGGGAACAGATCTTCCCATGGAGATGATTCTCCCAGTTCTGTCTGGACTATCTTGCCTTAGGAACCCAGGGAAGAAAGGAAATGCTGATTGCCTTTAGGGGTTATTTTGAGAAGGCAAACAGCATTTATCAATTATCCCTCCTGAGACCTGCCTGAAACAGAGCGCCAAGGGACTTGCGGTATAATTATAGCCAGTGATTAACATGGCTGATATGCATGGTCTTTGCTCGGCCCGGATTGCTTTACGACTTTACAACTAACGACTCACGTTCTTCTAATACCTTTGAACTGTGTACCAGTTATATCTGAAAGCACAAGGCCAGGTCTATTCTCTGGTGCCCCTCCTGTCCTCAGGTACCCGCTGCCCTCCTGGCACTGCTGGCTAAAGCCTAGGGTGTGTCCCATGATGGGGACACAGAACAACCAGCCATGGACCACACAGCACAGCTCATTTTGCTTACACCTGAGTTATTCCATTAGGTTTACTTGTCAATCTTGATGGAAAAATGATGACTCAGATGTCACACAAATTACCCCACTGATATAATGTTCTTCTGACTGACAGTTCTATCAGTTTTCTGAGAGTTCCATTTATTTCCTCCTGTCTCCTTTCTGCAGGCATCACATTTTCATATATGAAGAGAGAGAGAGGAAGAGAGGAATGTGAAAAACATGGGTCCCTGTGAAAATCTGATTCTGACGCCTGGCCTTGAGCAGGACATGCCAAAGCTGCCCCTTCCCCAGGGTCAGGGGGCGCCCAGGTCTGGGGCTCAGGCCCAGCTCCATCCAGCCCCTCCCACTCCTGCTCACTACCTGCTGCTGGCACTTTGCTTCCTGCACCAGAGGCTCCTTGAAGGCTGTAGGTACCATTACATCTGTTCTGCACTAGGAAGAAGACACAGATGCAGACCAAGAAGAGGAGGAAGAAGAAACAAAAGGCTACCACAGCCCTGGCTGGTGTCGCTCACTGGTTGCAGCATCAGCCCGTGCACTGAAGGGTCAAGGGTTCGATTCCTGGTCAAGGGCACGGACCTGGGTTATAGGTTCTATCCATGAACCAAGTCGGGGACAGTGCAGGTGGGGGAGGCAACAGGTTGATGTACTTTTCTCAGACTGATGTTTCTCTCCCCCTCTCTCTCCCTCTTTTCCACTCTCTCTAAAAAACAATGGAAAAATATCATCAGGTGAAAGTTTGAAAATTACAATAAAAACGAACAATAAAAGTGTGTGTATGTGGGAGCAATGTTAAAACTCATGTTGAGTTGCAGAAACATTGCTGATCAGGACAGAAATTCCAGAAGCATAAAGGGAAACTTTGATTGATTTGTCCTCTTAAAAATTACAAACTGCAAAGGCGACCATCAGCCAAGGCAGAGCACAAGAGGCCGGGGCACTGTGTGCAGTAGGTACGTGGACCACAGGTGACTCGCTGTCCACAGCACACAGGAGCCTACGGATCAACATGGAGAGACTGAACCCAGATTCTTAAACGTGGGGAGACACAGGAACAAATCATTCTCGGGGGGGGGGGGGGGGGACACAGGAAGAAATCACTCTCGGGGAAGGGGCTTGCGGAGCTTCAGGCACCTCCTGAGAAGCATAAAGGGAAACTTTGATTGATTTGTCCTCTTAAAAATTACAAACTGCAAAGGCAACCATCAGCCAAGGCAGAGCACAAGAGGCCTGGGCACTGTGTGCAGTAGGTACGTGGATCACAGGTGACTCGCTGTCCACAGCACACAGGAGCCTACGGATCAACATGGTGAGACTGAACCCAAATTCTTAAACACAGGGGGACACAGGAAGAAATCATTCTCAGGGAAGGGGCTTGCCGAGCGTCAGGCACCTCCTGAGGGCAGAGTAGAGCCCAACCCTCCTGGTGCTGGAGGCTGAGGAGGGATGTGGTGTGAATAAGGCAGCAGCTCCCAGGTGTGTCTCTGCTGTACAGACACAGGGATCTGGGCTCAGACTCCTCCAGCTGTACTCTCCACAGTTGGTGTTTTAAGAAGGAAAACCGGGTCATGCCACACGCCTGTCTGAGGCCCTAGGGCAGGGCTTCTCCCCAACTCTGAACACACAGGACCACCTCTTATGTCTCCCACTTGCCACGGTCCTCAATGAGGGTGGGCCAAGAGCAGGGAGGCAGAGAGAACCCATCTTCCTGCTCAGTCTCCCTTCATGGCGCCCAGCGGAAGTCAGTCCCCTCTCAGGGCCTCCGTTTCCCCACAGGGAAAGGCACTAAGGTCAAAGGGTGAGTGGAACAATGCCTGATTCCTGCAGTCTCAGAGGAAATCCTTTGCCCC